CTGTTTATTGTTTTGGTTTATGTTATTAGTGTTTGAGTCAGACATTAAGATATCATCATCCAGAACTGCAGATGAATTAATATTATTATTTGATGTTAAAGTTTTGGATTTGGCAGAATTATTTAAATTAGAAAGATAGATTTGGTTTTGGATAAATTAAATTTGATATTAAATTTAGAATGTAAAATTTGTTAAGCTTTTGGATAGAATCTTTTATTATAAGATTTTTTAATTAAAAAAATAAAAAAATTGTTATTTTTGAGAATATAAAAATATATAAGTACTCTAGCTAAGTACTCAGTACTAATAGATTTACTAGTAATTTTATTAATAATTTGGTATAGATAATGGTTGTTGCTTACTTTCCCGAAGTCCATTTTTCTGAAATACCATTTCACCAAAGTTGTAATACTGACAACCTTGTTTTCTGATACAACATATTACTGATAACCCCTTTTACTAACAGTAATTTTCACTGAATGTTTTTTTTCTGATCTAACCAATTTTCAACAACCCAATTTCTTGACATGACATATGACAGAAGGTTTTTTTACTAACAAGGTCTTTTCTATGAAATCTTGTTTTCCCAACAGGAAGTATTACTGAAAGCTTTTTCTTCAACAATAAGTATATGACTTATTTCTCCAACAGAATATCTTCTAGACAAGAAATCTCACTGAAAAATATTTTTCAAACAGGATAAAATGCATAATCTTATTTATGCACCAACAAATAGCATAAATTTGGTTATTTATTCGCTAATTAGAATTTAGCTAATTTATTAAAAAATAAGATAAATGTGCAATCAAAAAATTATAATTGGCTTCTTGTATCCAAATATCTTGATACAATAACTAACCTGAGACATTCTAGCAGCATCGTTCTAGCAAAGATTTTTGAAAATGAATAGATGTTTTCATCCTTTCAACTTCAATTCTATTTAATAATATTCTAAAACTGCACATTTTGCTTGATTTTTAATAGTAAGATTGTTATACAATATTATCACACAAAATCAGAAATAAAAGTTCTTTAATTAAAACTACAATTTACAATATTACTACAAGCTATATCATTAGAATAATAAGAATAATACATAAAAAAAAATGGTAAAAAAGCAAATGCAATCAGTAATTAAAGTCGAGTAATACTCCCAGAGTCGACTACTGACATGACAAGTATTCTCTCAAATTTTTGTTATTTGCATATTGTTTAATATCTCTGTTGCTATCTACTTAGATTACTTAGAGTAGTCCAGGTGTACTACTGACATAGTATTTAACATTTGTTGTTCTTGCTATGACAGATCTTTAGAGCTATATGTAAATAAATAATTTTATTTAATTTATTATAGTATTATATTTACAATAATATTTAAATAAATCTTTAAAAAAATTATACAATCAATCTTATCTAAATGCAATTCATTAAAACCAGACTTTTAGCAATCTGCATTTAGAGAACATTTGGAAAAATTATATTTATAGAGATCAAACATATTTTCAGATTTGAATTTTTTAGACATAGCAATAAAAAAAATTGCATTAAATAATCTAATTAAATATACCACACTTCAAAGCCTGATAAATTTAAAAACATGTTAATGTACGCAAAATGCACATCTTGTTAATTTTCTGTACATATCTTTTAAAAAATTCTTTTTTATATTGTTATTCTGAATTTATCATTGCCCACTTCAGTTTTTAAAGCAAGTAACAGATAAATAGCTGAGTATTTCGCTTAATACTATCTAATCAACAATTCTAAGTCTAGGTCAAAAAATATCAATTCTGCATTCTCAAAGCTAGAGAAAATATTTATTGTTATTTGTATAGTTATAATTTAATTCTGAATGACTTGAAAATTACAGAATTAACACTTTTTGTAGAATAGTTTTACAAGGTTTTTGATGTTTTACAATAGTTTCAGTTTCATCAGTTGGTTTACTGTTTGCTAGAGGGTTTCTTTTTTTAGCTTAAGTATCGTCTTTCACTATTTTTGAAGATGAATTCGTCTAATATCTATAATTCAGGCATATATGTAAATCTAAAAATGGTGAATTTACAAATATATAACAAAACTATTTATTAAACAAATGAGGAAAATAAAAATGGCCATACTAGATTAATGGTTTAATTCATCGATTCAATAATTTTGCTCTAGTTATTGATACTGTTGTGGGCAAAAGGGCCACCACAACATACGCCAAAAATTAAGAAAGAAGTAACAAATTGTTGCTTCAAAAAGAGGGATGCTATTTAATGTAATTCAACGTAATTAGAAGTAGTACGATTTGGCACAGGTCTAGAGCATTATTTGAATTAGAGTTAATATCTGGATCCAGATCCTAATCACAAAATTCAGATCCTAATAATAGGATCCAGATCTAACTATAAGATCCAGATCCTAATAATAAGATCGGGATCTAATCATAAGATCTAGATCCTAATAATAATAAGATACAGGTTTCCATAAATTCTGGAATACTTGAAAATTTTGCACGGTTTCTAATTCTTTTCAGCTTCATCCTAAAAATCACTAATTATTCAAAAATCACGTCACTGTCTTCGAAATTTTAGTCCAAAAATAGTGATATAATTTTAAAAGAGTTTCAGGAAACGAGCAAATTTTTCAAGTGTCCTAGAATTTATGAAAACACTGTAAACTCGTATCTAATTATTATTAAGATCTGGATCTTATTATTAGGATTCGGATCTAATGCCTAGATCTGGATCTTATTATTAGGATCCGGATCTTATCATTGGGATCTGGATCTAGGTATTAACTCTAAGTCAAATATCATTACATTTTTCCTATTGATTAAAAGCTAATTTTCTTTTTTTTTACTAACTCTTTATCCTTCTTTTCTTTTTATAGCCTCTCTTCTTCAATCAACATTTGCTTTCAAATCACTTCTAACAAACATTCTCACTATGTAAAATCATGCAGACATATGAAATCACTTGTATACAGCACAAGCTTTATCCCACAAGATAATCACTAATCTATTGACTCATTTTAGCTTTTATTGCATCAATCAGGTTAATGTCAATCATCTTTTCCTTTTGGGTCCATTAACAGTAATTGTTCTGGAGCTTAGTGATTATGGTGATCTACTGCAGCTTCGATTTGGAAAGCTTAAATAGCATCCATTTTGAGCAGGTTTCTATAATCTAGGAGGTACTGGGTTTGCCTGTAACAATATGTATCAACTTAGCCAATCAGGATTTCATTTTGGAATTTTGAAGATTACTGTTACATAATAAAATCTGTAACCAAACAATGTAAGTTTAAATATGCTAACTAATTTAAAAAAAATAATTAAAGATATCAAAAGCATTGTATGCATATCACAGTTGGAATAATCCAGCCTGATATACCAGAGATAAGATTTTATTTAGTGAATGCAGATATGATTTAAGCATAGTTGAAACTGAAACAGATATACAGTATCTCAGAAAATAGCAACTGAGATTGTGCTGAGATCACCATAGGCAGTTGAGTTTGTGTTGCATAGCATTGGCCATTTGTTTCCCACCTGCATCATGCAGGCTGGTCATCAATGTGAAAAGATAAATAGTAGAATATGATAATTATTATGAAAATGTTAAGTTCCTTTTTTTTTTTTTAATTGGAAGAAGGGATTGGGTTGCAACTTTGCTTGTTTTTTACTAAAAAATTAATTGTTCTTGATTGTGAGCATTGACTTTACTTATATTTAACCATCTTGTACTAACCCTGTTCAGCATTGGTGTTTGCACATGCAGCAGTTGATTCACAGCTGTATTTAGAGCCTTCTTGTGAAGATTAGTTGATCATTATATGGGCACTGTTCAATAAAAAAGAGGAAATCTCTTTTTAAATCTAGTCAAATTGACCAAATTTTAAAGAGATTTTTCCCTTTTCTATTGAACAGCACCCATATGTTACCCCAAGTTGCAATTTTACCCTTGGCAAGATCATGTAGATGTCCATACTTATATCAGTTCGAATGAGTTATTTTACTAACAGTTAGTTATCAAGATCATGCAATGTGAAATTTATAATTAAGATAATTACGTGATGTCTGCAAAATAGTCTTCAGTGAAATGATTGAAAAAATTACAAAGCACAATAAGTCTAAAATGAGTGAAGTTCTGGAGTGAGCTGGGATAAATCTTAAACAACTTCACATATAATCAGTTTACTAATAGTCTGTTTATTGATATCATGCAATATGATAATTTATAGATAATTTATGAATAATCATGAAATGAATAATATGTTAAATTAACATGTTGCATGATGTTAGTGAAATAGACCCTTAGTAAAATGATTGAATTCTTATTGTCATAAAGAAAAATAAGATATAATAAATCTAAAAAAGTATATAGAGTTCATAGTGAATTTCAAGATTAAAAAAATTCAACCCATTTAAAGATAAAATGAGGAAATACTCTTATAGCATAGCCCAAGGATAAAGCACAAAATTAAATGATAGAAGGGAATAGAATTTTCCTTTAAAGACCATATCAAATGTATATAAGGAGGGCAATTTCAAAGTTAATAAATCATCGAATTGAGTTATTAATAACTCGATAAGATTTTTAAATCTTTACCTTCAAAAAACTATTGTCAATATTATAAACTTCATATAACAATCTCTTTAAATAACATAAAATTGTCAAATAATCAATTATTCAATGGATCGTAAAATTTATATAGTCTAGTCCATATGTGGCAATGAAAAAATTGTAATTCATAGATATGTCCTTGTGAAAGAAAAGAATATCAATGAAAATTATTATTGGTGTTGTGAATATAGGTCTCTGAAAAATTGTAAAGGACGTGCAATAACTGTTTTGGAGGTGCAAGATCATGTTTTAAAAAAATTTAGTGAGCATAACCATGTCTCTGAAGCTAACCGTGCAGATGTAATGCAAGCACTTAATAATATTAAAGAAAAGGCCTTAAAGACACATGAAAACCTAGCTTAAATCATCCAAGATTCCATCATCAACATGCCTGAAGCATCCCTCCCCTATATGCCGAATACTGAAGCTATCCGCAAACAGATTTCACATGTTAGACATAAAGATTTACCTTCCCAGCCACAATCATTAGAGGATATTGATGTGCTGACTTTGCTACGTACAACTTTTCAGAGAGAAAGGTTTCTTGCCAAAGAAATTGAGTTTGATAACAAAAAAATAATGATTTTTTGTACAACAAACAACCTTTAGTATTTAGAAGAAGCCAGGTATTGGCTTATGGATGGAACTTTTTGGATAATGCCAATACTATTCCAGCAGTTGTATACTATATATGACCCAGTTAGGAGAGAAAGTAATTCACACATTTTTTCACTAGCATATGTTTTAGTGATGAATAAGTCTGAGTCAAGTTATACACAATTATTTCAAAAACTAATTAATTTAGGTAAGGATATTAGTCCATTTAACTTTCATTATATAAACTTCAGTTATCTTCATACTTACTGTATTTTTGTGTAATAACGCCCATTTGTATGTTTTTATATATGTGTTATTTTGGGTATGCACATGTGCATTGTTTCATGCATGCACATGTGCATTATTTTGAGCTAAAGTCTGGTTGTCTGATATATGAATAATTACTATATGAAAATACAGTACATTATGTTAGTAGAATAAAATCCTCATATATATACAGTCAACTCTTTCTAAGTGCAACCTCTCTTTAAATACAACTTTAAATTCTGATCCTAACAAATTGCACTTAGAAAGGGTTGATTTTATTAACAAAAATAAAAGAAATTTAGTAAAAAAAAAAAATAATAATTCAGATACAACTAGAGTTTGAAATAGGTTTTTTTTTTTATGTTAAAACTAATTAAAAACAAGGTTAACATATAAAAAATAAAACTAGTTCCAAACTCTAGATATAACTATAATCAAAATTCAACCAATAATTAATATCTCTAATTTAGGTGAGAAGGCTGGTTACAATCTGAATCTGCCAATTATTCTTACAGACTTTGAACAGTCTGCAATGAATGCTATCCGCTTAAACTTTCCAAATTCAAGAAATAAATGTTGCTTATTTCACCTTTGCCAAAATTTTTGGAGGCAAATCCAAGCTGCGGAATTATTCATTGAATATGGCACTAATGAAGAATTTAGTATAGGATTATGTCAGCTAACAGCACTTGCTTTTCTCACACCCTCTGAAATACCAAATGCCTTTGATCAAATTAAATTACAAATCCCTCCTCATGCAGTTCAGATTGTCGAATATTTTGAAAAAAACTATATTCGTGAAAAAGTTAGACAACAACTCAGAAATGGAAATATAATTCGTGCACCACCAAAATTTCCACCATCATTATGGTCTGTGTTTGAACTTGTAATCCAAGGTTATCCTAGGACACAAAATGTTGTCGAGGGGTGGCACAATAGGTGAAACAATATAATTAGAAAACCCCATGTTGGGGTTTATACAATTATAGAAGAAATGCACAAAGAACAACACCAGACAGATATGTAGATAGAAAGAGTTTTGCGTGGTGAACCTCGTTCCTCTCAGCCTACATGCATTGTTAATTCTGAAAGGTGTGTTCTGTCAGTGTTTAACAGTCGAAATGACTATTCCCTTACAGATTATTTAAGGGAAATTGCCCATAACATTTCTTTTTGATTTTTATTTTTTTTTATTTTTTTTGTTTTTTTAATTACATACTGTATTTCTTATATATTTAAGGATTGAATATTGTAACTTCAAAGATGATTTCGGGTCAATAGTTGTAGTCTTCTTTTTATCATTAGTACAATTAGTTAAATAGAAAATGTTAGTAAAAAAAAAAAAAAAAATAGAAAATGTTAGTAAAAAAAAAAAAAAAAAAAAAAAGAAAATGTTAGTAAAAAAAAAAAAAAAAAAAAAAAAAAAGGTTAGTACTTCAAAGTGTATTAACAATACTTGTGAAAATGTATATGTAAAAAAGATAACTTGATCTCAAATACAAAAGTTATCTCTAATTCTCCTTTTGTATAATGTCGACCACTGTGATTCTTTTGAACTTGATATAGTTGCTAAAAATGAAAGATAGAATTAGCATTGGTAATCAAATCCTTATATACTCAAACTTATTAATTAAATTTATAATTGACCCTATTGTTAGTAAAATATATACGTACATTGTAAAAAAGAAAACTAGTTTTGGTCGAATGCTTTAGTTCTAAGTAGCGCAAATCCTAAAAATCCTTGGAATCAACAAAATCATAAAGATTTCTATAATTTTAGAGACCTTCAATATCTTAGTTATTAGCGATATAACAGTTATTTCTTGGATAAAGATAACAAAGATAACAGATATAATAGAGAAAACGAATATAATAGTTATTAGCGATATATTAATTATATTAGAGTTACCTGTTATTTTTGAGATATTAGTTATACAGTCAAGTCTCTCTATAGTTACAAAATTAATATAATTACAAATTTATCTATACCAATTATCTATAACTATATAGTAAATACCTCTATATTAGCCACATTTCTTTACAATCACAGTTTTTTGTATTCCAAAGATGTAACTATAGAGGAGTTTGACTGTATTTGTTGTTACGATATATGTAAAATAATGTATACAAGCAGTGTAAATTCACCTTGAATAAAATTAACTCTTGGAGTTTGAAAACTTTGAAATGTTTAATAGAAGCTGTAGTCTCTAAAAAGTTCACCTTTTTACTATCGAAATCATTTATTCTTGTATCCGCACTTATATTATAACTATTAAAATCATTTGACGTTATCATTTGTACATGTATTTTTGTATTGAATAATAAAAAAAGTATCGATTAGTAATCAAGCCCCTTATATATTAGGAGATGTTATTGATTAAATCAGTAATTGAACTATCATTTCATACATATGTAGCTCGATTCAGAGATTTCAGCATCCACCAGTGCTGAAATAAATCATGTAATCTGCGACTTACTCTGATTGGATAAATTCAATTGCAAGGACCAACTGCAGTACTTACGAAAGAAGAAAGTTAAAGTATTAAGCGAAAATGCTTGAAAGAATAAAATAGTTTACAAGAGGATAATAGAATACTTATCTGAGTCTAACATTATTACTAAAAACCCAATTTACCCTAGTAACTAAATCTCTTCATGCCTCAATCGAAGCCTTACCACTATTAGGGTTTGGTTATTATATTAGTTTTTCGGTTTGAATAACATAGTTCGTATTAGTGTAGTTTTGTGTATGTATTAGATAGCTATTATTTCTCCCTTATTTTGATGCAATTAACATTTTCTCGGGTCTCTCTGTCCTATTTTTTTACTCCATTATTTTCTTTCATGTTTGGCTCATGTTTGGCTCATGTTATTTCCCTTTATAGTAAGCTCAATGCAGGAGTATTTTATGCCAATCCAAAATAAAATAAAAAGAAATTATTACTGTAGTTGGAAGGTTGAATGTTGAATATAGTAAATTTGAATATAGAGTCTATTATATATACTAACAATGTGAATGTATAAAAACCCACAATAAAGATAACATGTTAAGTTCATAATTTAGAAGTATAAAACTCTAGTAGTTATTACTTTTGATTATAAAACTTCACTATTTGCATATTATCGTAACTCTTGTCCCTGTGAATTATCATCAAATTATTCTAACCTGATCATCAAAGAGAGGGTAAGAAAATTGGTAATCAGTGCAAAAGCATATTTATATAAAACCTTAAATTGATTAAACTTGTGATTTGTGTCATTGTCAAATAAAGCAAACCTAAATTAAAGAAGGGAGAATAAAATGCATATTAGTATTGAATTGCGACAGCAAATAGAAGTAATATAAGTAAAGAACACTTATCTAAATTCAAATCTTGTTCAGTTGCTATAAAGCATTTATTGTTATATAGTTTTAGCATTAGTTGTTAGTAGTTCAAATATTTTAGTTAGTTTCCAGTTACCCTTAGAATCATTACCAACTGACACATGACCTAGAAATTAAATAGCCGATAACTGACATTATGACCTAGGAGAGCTTTCCTTTTGTTACACCGATTTAGCACAGGGTTGCAAGCATAAGTATGGGTAATAGTTGTTAAAAGAATGTTTGGCATGCGACACTTATTTACTTATTTAATTAATTTGCTCAAAACAGGAGAAAGGTTGAAAGAGTTGTTTTATTTACTAAACAAGTGCCATATTTATACATTTTGCAGAACAAGAGTTTCAAATCCAGATTTGAGGTTTCAAACCCTGATCTGAGGTCTCAAACCCTGTACTGGAGTTGCAACATTTATATATAGAAAAGTAAAGCAAATTATAGTGAAAATATATTTAGAGAAAATTCAACAAAATTTTTCATAATGCTGATTGAAACCCAGGTGCCCTAAGAGTAGAGAAATAAGAATAATATTAAATATTAGTGAATAGAACTGAAAATAATAAGAAAAGATAATAAAGAACAAATCCAAGTATTAAAAAACTAGAATACTCAGCTTTTGACTTCACAATCCCTAGTAGAAATCAAGTTTTGTATATTGTTGATTGCTTTTTTAAAGAAGCAGTATCGGTATATTAAGAAAATGTGCAAACTAGATAAATAATAGATATTGTATATATTCTGGAAAAACAAATAAAAATTAGTCAATGATTATTTGACCAGATTCACTAGGTTTTAAATTTGGTGTTATTAATATAATGCATATTTTAGAACTATTAGGCTTTTATATTGAATATACTAAATATATTAGAACAACTGTAAGTAAAATCATATTTCTTTGTTATATTTACAGCTGTTTTCACAAATTTTGACACACCTAAATATCTGCTTTTTCTCTAAAATCCCGGTATCATTCTAATTATAACTATTTGGAAACTACGTCGCATAGACCTGGAGACAGAAATATAATTTTAGAAACATTAGGTTATTAAAACAGTATCGAAGAGGTTTCAGGAAAAAAGTAAATTTTTAGGTGTTCCAGAATTTATGAAAATGGCTGTAAATTCTGTAAAACATCTACTGGTAAAAGAGCTTTCAGCAATATATTTTCGAAGAAATAGAATGTCAGAATAATGTATCAATCAGAAAAGTGATTTTTCGATAAAATAGAACTACTGTTTTTAGTATTCAAAGAAATGGCAGTTGCAGATAAAAGGTTTTTTGGGAATATGTGCTATCGATTAAATAAGATTTTGGTAAAATGGGAAGTCAAAATTATGACCTGTTAGTAAAATGGATTTTCAGTATTATGGCTTTGGTAAAATGGTGTTTCAGTAAAATTGATTTCAGAAAGCTAACTCGGAACCATAGATAATAGTTGTTGATTTGATTATTTGTGGTGGCAGCACTAAGATAAGCTTTGAAAAAGCTGTAAAAATAGTAGCTTTTTTATGCTTGGTTGGTTTCAGTTTTGTTAAGTTCAATAAATTTTTTTTTAGTTTTAGTAACAAGTTGACAAAGTAAGGTAATAAATGTATGTTTGTTAAAAGTAACAGTATTGAGTTGGTCTTTGTTAAATATAGAAAAATTAAGAATAAGAGTGTGTCTATTTTGGTTTGAATTAAGTGTTAGTTGAAGCTAGAAAGTAATTATATGAGGTGGTAAAAAAAATAAAGATAAGTTTTTAACATTGTGTTCTGTATTATTAGATAATATTGTATAGTTTTTGACTATACAAATGTGAATATAATATATAAAGTGGCCTTAAAGCATAGTCCGAAATGTTCTTGTAAGAAGTTTATAGAAGTAATTTTAAATTCAGAAAGAAGAAGTGCTTTTATTTATTAGAAAATTTAAGAGCAATTTGGTATTTAATATAGTTAAATGTTTTTTCTTGATTAATGTTATAGAATTAATGTTTATAAATATTGAAGAATTTTTCAAACCAGATTTTAAATTCAGATAAGTGACTTTTTAAAGATGTGATTTGATAAGTTTGGAGAAATTGTTTTTTAGGAATATTAAGAGATATATTAATATTGAATTTGTCATTATTTTAAATTTTGAAAAGTGGTTAGTTAATATTATCTTTACTAATAAAGTAGTTAAGTCTAAAGTAGATAGAGTAGAGTTTAAGATCTTTATAGAATTTTTTAGCATGGATGATTTTGTATTTGTTATAAAGAATAAGGTGTAGATAGACTAAATTGAATACTACTTGTTTTCAGTTTGTAGTAATATATAGAGAAAAATAGAATTATAAGAAGTGAAAATTCTTGGATAGTTTAGTTAAGTAAATAAAGTTGTAGTAAATTTTTGCAAAAGGAAGATAAAAGTAGAATGAATTAATTCAAATAGAATTGAAATTGATCTATTAACTGAAGGATTTGCTTTATAGATAAGGTTAGTTAGGAATTTAGGTCTTTTGGTAACTAGAGTTTTAACCAGATATTTGTAATTAAGTTTGAATTCAGAAGCATTTTCTGAAGCTGCTTAAGTAATTTATCCTGAATAGATATCAATAAGATATGGTTTAATAAAATTAAATTGTTGTTATACAGTAGGATTATTTAGTTTGGTGTTATTTTCATAGACTCAGTTACAGGATATTTTTTAAACTAATCAAGGTTATTAGTAGTATCTTGTTGATTTATTTTTTGTTTTTGTTTTTGTTATGAATTAAGTTTTTTGTTTTTCTTTGATAAGAAGAATTTAAGAAGTTGGATTTTTTTAGTAGATTTTATTCATTGAATTTTGATAAAAACAAGAATTGGTTTTTGTTTAAGAGTTAGAGAAGAAATAATTTATTTTTTAAAAATAAAATAAAAAGTTTGAGTATTTAAACTAATTAGTTTAGATTTGATTGAAACTGTAACTATTTGCTGTTGAAATGTAAGAGAAAAGGTTTGAACCAAAAGTTTAAATTTAATATCTAATATATGAGGAACACAGAGTCTGTGGATTAGATATTGTTTGAAAATTGTACAGATTGTATAATTGAGGGCATGACTACATTGTTCTGTTGCTATACAAAGAATATTTTTAGATTCATATAAGAGACATGTATAATAGTATTGAGAATATGCAACAATTGCAGAAGATGTAGAATCTATTTGGAAGTTAGGAAATAGTATATAAGATTTAAAAGAAGAAGAATCAGATTGTTGTTGTTTAGAAGTAGATAATTAAGGTAATTCATTATCTATTTTTTTGAAATAATTGATAGAAGTAGTAGAAATAATTTAAATTAAAGATTGCCCAAGAGAAATAGAATAAAAAATTTTGTAGAACCAAAAGGTAAAACTAGTATAATATATTTTACAAAGACATGTGGTAATAATGGATTGTTGAGGAACCTTGAAGTAATGATGCTTTTTTATTGAATCACAAGTAATTAGATTAATGTTTACTGGAAGCACATGTAAAGATTAAGGTTTTCTTTCTATCATTTCTATACATTAATGTTTACTGGAAGCACATGTAAAGATTGGGATTTTTTTCTACCATTTCTATACTATGCTGATCTTTATATCTGTCATGGTAGTAGTCAATATTATAGAAGTCAGAATCTTTAGAGATTAAAGTAGTCATAATTTAAAGTTTAAAGAATAAAAACAGAGAAAATAAATAAAAAAAATAAATAAAATCTTGGATATAAAAGAATCTGAAAAATATAGAATATGACAAATAAGGAGGTATAATAAATAAGAGGATATGACAAATAAGGGATGTAATGAGTAAAGAGATATGACAAATAAGAGAATGTGACAAATAAGTGGCACAGGGTGTGCAGTCTAAGAGGTTACAATAATCAATGTTAAACAAATTTTTGTATTAGTTAATTGAACCAAAAATAGAGAAAATTAAAATTTGTGTTAAATTAATTAATAATATGGCTTTTGGTAGTGATCTGCAGATGCTAGGCATCCTATAATACAGGATTCTCTTCAAAAAAAGAAGAAATTTTTTGCAAAAAAAGAACAGAAGTTTTGTAAAGGAGTTTTAAAGATTTTTTACATAAAGTCTTCAATATTAATTCGATATTGATGTATAATATATCAAATTGAAGCTCTAAGTGAGCTCTATCTTTTGTTTAAGATAACAACTAAGGCTAGCTTAATAGATTATTAAAAAATTTAGAAAATGTATTTTGTAGATTAATAAATATATCTTAGTGTATAAAGGTCCAAGAGATATAAAACTAGGCTGTCTATATGTAAAATTTAGTTGTAAACAATTTTATAAAGGAGGCCAAAAAAGGTTTACTTAATAAATTATTTAGTTATTGCCAATTCATTATCAGAGAATTTTGGTATAAATGATCATCAAAAAGAGTTAATGATTTGTATCTATATATATTATACATAAGCTTTAGTATAGATTTTAATTATTATTAATTTAAAGATTCAAATAAATTTAAAAAAATTTTTAATGATTTTTTATAACTCTTATAAATTAAATAAAATAAGCTTATATTATATCTAAAGATTAAAAAATTTGATTAATCAATTTTAAAAATATATATTTAAACTAATTTTTAACTAATGCTTTTTTTGAACTAAGCTTTATATATATTTTTAGAATAATATTTAATCTAGTTTTAATTATAAATTAGTTAAAATAAGATAAATAATTTTTTAAATTATTATTACTTATTTTATTAAAAATTATTAATATAATATTAAATAAGATTAAACTTATACTATAATTATAAAATTATAGAATTACTAATTGCTAAAAGTTTATTATATGCTAACTTATTTTTTGATATTCTGTTAAATTTTTTAATATTAAAGTTAAAACAATATAAATTAATCTAATATTAAAATTACTTTAAACTATTAATTTTTTTTTAAGATAATCTTTTAGATCTTAGACTTTTATTAATATTTTTTAATAATATGGTTCTATATAAAACTATTATAGAAAAAATATACAATTAACTATATATATAATTTTTTTATATTACTTATTTAAGAAGTTTGTTTAAAAATTTCCACTAATTTCTATTTCTAATATCTTTGTTTATATATTCTATTTTAAATTCTCTAAATTTGCAATAATATTAACTTTACTAGATCATGTTTAGATCTTTATCTTATTTTATTCTTAAGATAAACCTTTCAGAGTTTTTTATATATTTATTTTACAACTGACTTAATAATATTATAGCTAAATTTACACTTATAGTCAGAATTAAACATTAAACTGTTATACTCTTACAGAGATTATCTGAATTTTTATACTACTTTATAGCATATTTAAAATACTTTAATATAACTTTGCTTTTGTTATCAGACTTTTAATCTAAATAGTTTAGTAAAATTGTAATCTGTTTATTAGTATATTAGGTTGGCCTAATATTTTGTTTTTCTAGTCTAATTTTGGCAACTTGATTAGTAATATCTCTTATCTGAGATTTTTAATCATCTGGTTTTTTTATATTGATATTCATTTCTTAAGTTTAGTTTTATAATATATTATGCTACCTCTTTATTCAGATTTTTTTAAATAGATTTTTTGTTTTCTAATTTCTATAGATTTATTTATACAACTATAAGGGCTTATTTTATGTTTATACTACTTAATGCCTATTTGTATTCTTTTGTGTAGCTAGATATATAGATTTTCTATAATCTGTCAATTATACTAGTATAATTATAATTACAAATATTTTAATCTAATTATTAGAAATAATTGTTATAACATAGATAAAAATCTAAATTTTGTTATCAGTAAGTTTTGAACTTATAATCTATCATTTAAAAGATTGACAACTTATTTATTTTACTAAATTATTATATTCTTTACTTTAGATTATTATAAAAAGATTTAATATTTAATATATTATAAAAAAATTAACTATATTATATTTTCTAATTGTAAGTTATTTTTGTATTTTTATAATAATCTTCTATAATTATTTGTTAACAATATTATTATAAAAATACTCATTATTAAAAATATGATATATTAAGATATTTTAAATTAATGAGTCTATTACTAATTAAATTTGATTTAATATAATAATTAAATAGTTTTTAGTAAAAAAAATATATAAATTTGGTAAAAAGATTTAATTTAAGTTAAGTTATCCAAAAATAATGTATATTATATTGTAACTATTATTTTATTTATTTCTAAAAGAGTGCCAAAAAGGAAAAATCTGTAAATCATTTCACTCATTAAGTGAGATGATTTACAGATTTTTCATTTTTGTCACTTAAAAGCTGTTGTATTTTATATTATTTCAAAAATAATGAATAATATACATTAAATTTTATTATTTTTTTTTATAAAAAAGTATTTTATTTTAAACATACTTTTTTAAAATTATTCTTATAATAATATTCTTATAATAATATTATTATTTATATTGCTATATTGACATAATCAATACTGTATATACAGTTTAAATATATTATAATTAAATATAGTAAGAAAATTTCATAGTCAATAAGTATGACTTGATAATTATATAGTAATAATATTATGACAAAATTAATTATTTATGGATCATATATTTCAGATTTAATAATATCAAGTACCTTATATTAAAAGTACCATTTTTATATTTTTTCAAAAAATATGTTTTTATTAGATTAATATAAATTTTGACATAATTGACATTTTTTAATTATAAATAAAAGTTGATTTATATAATAAAAAATTAAGATAATATAAAAGAAATATTTTATAAGTCTTCTAAAAACCAACATATTACAAGATTACACAATAATTACTTGTTACTTTTAACCAATCAAGATCATGAAATTAAATTAGTACAAAAATCAAACCAAATAATTAAATTCAATTACTTCAAAATGAGATAAATGTAAAAATGGAACTTCAATATGAGACACCCCATATATATATAGAATTGCAAAATTACTAAATTTATTCATGATTTTCAATTCTACAATTGTAGAATTATCAACTGATTGTAAAATTAATTCTACACATGCAGAATTAATTGGCTCGTATTATTGCACTGAATCATTTCACTGATAACCCATTCAACCGACATCACACCAAGCAACAATCTACTAAAAATATATATCAGTAAATAATAAAATGCTAATTCCAACCCTAAATGATGTCGGTCAAGCGAGACCTACTCCAAACTAATACGATTTATAATAACGGGAGGAAACGTTGATGTTACAAGACTGATCTTTCACCCGGTGTGCAACATATAAACAAATATTTTACAATACCAGTTCATTCTGCTAGTACATATTATTATTATAATCCAACACCATATTTATTAGAATCCAAAACCATTTTTATTATAATAAAAATGGTGTTGGACTATAATTCATAACATTACTAGCGGAATGAACTGGTATTGTAAAATATTATTTTTATATGTTGCACACCGGGTGAAAGATCAGTCGTGTAACATAAACATTTCCTCCTGTTATTTATAATAGACCGAAAAAAGTTATTGCCTAATTTATTAGCATGTAAAATTTGATTGTGCCAGTCAATTTATTATTAACCGTGCCAGTCAATTTATTAAGTATTAACGTCAAATCTAAATTAATGAGATGTAAAATTACAAATACAAAAAATTATTAAAAAATTATAAAAAATGACTGGTTAATTACAGTGAAAAAGCAAGCATTTATGTGAAAGTTCTTAGAGTTTTTGATCTTCTTTTTTTTTTGCCAACACTTATATCTATAATATATATACTGTAATTTTCAGTAATTCAGTAATTACATAAAGCATTCCTGCGTTGAATTAATAAAATTTGATCTGATATTGTATAGATTTTTCACAAAAATTCTATCAACACTGAAATTATCAAAGGAATGTTGCATAGATTTTTCACAAAAATTCCATCAATGCTGAAATTATCAAAGGAACAAATAAACTTAATAGTATTAAAAACGAAGGTTTGGACATTATAAAAGAGTTGGCGCTACTATTACTAATTGTATGAGGGGAATTAGTAGTAACAGAATTTTTGGAAGAGGGAGTAGTAGTATCGTTGACAGATGTAGATGGGGGAGGAGGTGAAGGCACAAATGTGCTTCCGTTAACTACAAATTGTTGACTTGATTGTATGATTTGGAAGCCGGTTTTAGAACTAACACATATTACACAAATGACACTAATTGGACCGACATCACTTGTTGGAGGAGTCCACTGAAATGTAACGTTAGCTGGTTTATCAGTAGCAGCTGTATAAAAAATGAGTAAAATGAATAATAAATTATCAATACTTTGAATTTGAGTAAGCAAAAAATAAATATGTATATGTAAGAAATACATACAGCTATGACTAAGAGTTCCTTTTGGATCACCTGGACAATTTGCCATTAATTTGTAGCCAGATGGAACAGTCCACTGACCAACATGATTATATAAATTATCAGTAACATAAAATAAGAGGCCTTTGAAAGTTGTTATGTTTGAACCAGTAATTGAAAATTCTATCATAGGACCATTTGGAACGTAAAAATGATCACCTTGGGACATGCTAATTTCGAAGCCTAAGTTACCCTTCTTGCCCATAGGGGAGTTGTTTACCGCTTCGATAGTTACTTGATCTGCATTACATGTGCCGGCACCAGTAGAAAATGCATAAGCGACAGCTGCAAAGGTTAAAAGTGTCGCTATGTAAAGAAATGCAGTGTAAAAGATTGAACGCATAATAATATAATGAAAATTTTAAATAATATAAATATATATAATGAAGTGAATTTTTTTTTCAAACGGGTGTTAAAGGAATTGGAAGAATACTATAAAAATGAATGTAAATGAGTTATAGTCAACTCTTCCGCAGAAATGAAGCGAAAGGAATTTCGAGAATTAATGAAAGGTCTGTAAAAGTTGCTTTCAGACCAAATTAATATTTATTTATATTATTAACCATACATGGCAAGATAATTATAGGTACTGTACGTATGTATGATATGTACATATGTACATATATACATACATGCTTGCATGCGTACTACAAAAATTATATATACTTTCATCTTGGTTAACTAGACACATTTGTGGAAAAGTAATATTTAATTGAATTTGCAAATTGACCTGACGGATTATTGTCTCAGTAAATATTTTTAATCGTTCGACGGTTTATATATCATTTAGGTTACATTATTATTTGTACAGTAAATAAATGTTAAATTAGAACCAATAATACTGTATTAATTAATTTCCACGTAATACAAATCAGACCTTATTGAATTAATATTAATTAATTTACGTTACAATGTATTTTTATTTTATTAACTATTAAAGTAAAATTAATTGACATTAATCTTATGCTACTAACAGTTAGTAACATTACGTTTTGAGTGTACCTCGAAGGAATCTATGCATATGGAATTATTTCATTAGCTGAATTGCTTTGTTAATCCAGCAGTCAACTTCACATATGCAACATATGTTACACATGTGTACTTTGTCTTTGTAGTGTTGAATCTGTAAGCTTCTTAAAGAATTAGAACTGACAAATTGCTTTCGAGAGAACTTGAATTCTTTTTAGTGGTTTCTATTGAAATGCTGCAAATTAGCTAGAGCTATTTCATCTTGTGCTTTACCAATTTTGTAATACTGTATTAATATATTATCGAAAATTTATTGTCTAATGAACGTAATATATTGTAAAATATTACAAGATTCGGCAAACAATAAATAAATAAACAAATAAAAAAAATTGCAAAGATTAACTCGGCTAATTTATGAAAATCAGACTTATTATTTATTGTTTTATTCATTTATTTATTATTAAAATTTTTTTTAAATAAACTATTAAGAGAAAATTTTAATCAGGATTCCCTATTGCGATATCTTAAAGCTGGCCTTATTATAAAAGTTTTACAGTGAGACATTTGTAAATAACCTTCTAAATGCTAGCTCAAACTCTGGTCAAAATGCTCTTAACCTCCGTAATTATATATATACTTTATTGTTCCTAACTGGCGTTTTTGTCAAAGGTTTGGCCCGGCCCGTTGTAAAAAGATGATATGGCAAAACCAAATAAATAGTAATACAAATAATTGTGGTCTGTGGTTTAGTAAAGTATTGGGGCATAATACGTTAAATTAGCAAACACGTTAGTATGGTCACAACTGTGTATAAAGTGTATTGTATGTAAATGTATGTGAAGTTTATGCAAACGTGACGTCAAAGAAAACTAGAGTAACTACTAATCAATCCCTTATTCCATTTGGCAAACAGTCAACTCTTCATATAACGAATCTTTTTATAATGAACCACTCTATACATGTCACTCTAGTTATATCGACACAGCAAAAAAATAAAGCAATTGCTCGATGTATCAAGTTGTCTGTTTAGCTAGCGACATTTTCATTTTAAGTATATAGGTTCAAAATTTTAAAAAGTGTGTACTATCCAGATGAACGGCACAGTGTCCGATCCAAAGTGAATCCCTCTGGCCTGTGATCAATCCCAAATTAAATTATTTATTTGGATTCAATTGTGATGGATATAATTCCTCACAGTTTTAGTTTTAATTTATGTGTAACTTTAACGGTCTCTGCTGTTAGGCAGATACCATAAGAAGACTTTCGTATGATTTGCTGTTTAAATCAATTTAAATTTACATTATTTATACAGTTTAAAATACTTTTAAAAACCAAAAATACGAAGAATAAACAAAAAAAAAGAAGTATATTAAAAGGATTATTAGGGTTTGTAGGCCTTAACCATTAAAAATAATCAAAATTATTTTGGTTTTAGAGAAGATAGCATAATAACGACTTCATAAAGATAGATAGAATTAGGTTATTACCATTCTAAAACAAAAAAGGATTACCAGGAACGAATGTAATGAGTGTATGAATTATATGCTATTTAAAGAGGTTTGTCCGTAAAATCTTAATTTTGATTGGTTCGCATTATTTATTCATCAAATTTTGGTTATTTTTCATATGAATTCGTCACGCATATAGATCAACGGATATACATGTGTACTGTACAGTGATAACTCTAACGGCGAGTCAGTCGCTTTCGGCTAAGTCGAAATGGTCGTGTTAGATTTGGCGAGTGGAGAATTTATGATTGTAGGTATTAAGTTGTAGTGAAGGCAGGGAATTATTAGAGGACGAATTTTATTATAAGCGCGAACTACCGTTCTTGTAGGGCTCGAAGCCTTTATCATATAATGTTTTATTACATATGCCCTCCTAAATGTATTAAACATATTCTCCGTAATGTACCCTTTAATTTCCTATATTACTTAAAGCCCTTGATTATTATATAACTCATTAATTATAGATTTCTCTTATTACCCTTATTACCCTTCTATCTACTAATGACTTTTACGACCTCTAATCCCGGGAAACCCATTTTAGGTAAATGATCGACATAGCCGTTGACACGGTCGAAACGGCGAGTCAGTCGCTTCTCAATTGGATATGTCGTGTAACCTACGAGTCGGCTAAGTCGAGAAGAGGTGTGTTAGATTTGTCGAGTTGCGTATTTTATGATCGTAGGTATTATAATGTAATGAAAGCAGGGAAGTATTAAGAGCAAATATTATGATGAGTGCGAACTGACTGTTATTGTAGGGCTCGAAGTCTTTATTATAAATGTTTTATTACATATGCACTCTTAAAGGTATTAAACATATTAAACATATTATCTAACATATTGTGAGCAGTGGAAACGTGATCCTGGAAGCACATGGCAGGGGATGATCGATGTGGCGCAGTAATGCAATAAACGGCTATGTTGATCATCTACCTAAAATGGGTTTCCCAGGATTATCGGTCGTAAAAGTCGTTTAGAAGATATAAGGGTAATAGCGGTGATAAGGGTTTTAAGGGAAAACTATAAGTAAAAGGATATATGGTATTTAGAGGCTTTAAGTAATATAGGACATTAAAAGTGTATATGTTAAATAATACGTTTAATAGCTGTAGGAGCGCATATGTAATAGAACAGTATATAATAAAGGCTTCGAGCCCTACGAGAAGCAGTAGTTAGTGCTTATCATAAAAATTCGTCCCTAATAATAATATCTACTGTCGTTATAATAAAACCTACAATCACCACTCTCCAAATCTAACCGCCTCTTATCGACTAAGCCGATTCGTAGGTTACACGACGTATCCGTTTGAGAAGCGACCGACTCGCCGTATCGCCCGTGTCAATATACCCCTTTAATGTCCTTTTTTTACTTAAAACCCTTATAACTCATTAATCATAATTTTCCTCTATTTCCCTTATTACCCTTATTACCCCTAT